GGTGGTTCCGGGGGCGGCGGGCAACTCCGGCGGGGCGGCGGGGCGGCGGCGGCGGCGGCTAGCAGCGGCTAGGGTTTCGGCGGCGGCGGCGGGGTGGGCTGGCGGGGTGGGCTGCGGGGCAGGGGCGGCTTATAAGGCCAGGGCGGCGGGGAAGTCCGGGTCGCCCACGGCCCGTAGGTCGGTTAGACTTTTTTTTTAAATATTCCGACGCGCAGAAAAACGATTAAAAGAAATACTAAACGGACTCTAAAAATCCTGAAATAAATTTTCCCCGTCCTCTAAAAATATAGCGGACAAAGTGAACATTTATTTGGGCCTCTAATGCAATTTTGAAAAACACATTTTTTTCTAATTCAAATAAAATAGCGATAAAACTTCGAATAAAATACTTATTTGATTTTAATATTTTCCCTTCAATATTTCTTTATTTTGGAGAAGTCATTTTATCCCCTCTCTTTTATTTTCATATGAGAAATATTCAAAGAGAAAAATAATTAAAACTAAATGATCCTCTTTTCAAAATTTGAGAAAACTCAAATATGAAAATAACGAAATCCCCAACTCTCTCCGTGGGTCCTTGAGTTGCGTACAATTTCTAGGATCAACCAAAAATGCACTAAAATATGATATCCAATGATGATCTAATGTATAACATTCCAAATTGAAAATTTGGGATGTTACAAACCTACCCCCTTAAGATGAGTCTCGCCCTCGAGATTCAGGTTGGATAGAAAATAGGTGCGGGTGGTCCTTCCATAGGTCTTCCTCTCATTCCCAGGTGGCTTCATCCTCGGTATGGTGGCTCCACTAAACTTTGCAGAATTTGATAACCTTGTTGTGTGTGACTCGGCTCGCAAACTCGAGAATCTTCACTGGTTTCTCCTCGTAGGTCAAAACGCTATCCAACTGAATCGCTTCTAGTGGCACTGTATCTCTCAGAGGAATATCGGCCATCTCTGTGTGGCACTTCTTCAACTGGGAAACGTGAAACACATCGTGAACTCCTGACAATCCTTCTGGCAATTCCAACTTGTAAGCAACTTCTCCCATACGCTCCAAAACTTTGTATGGTCCCACAAAACGTGACGCTAACTTTCCCTTAACTCCAAAACGCTTAACTCCTCGAAGTGGGGACACACGAAGATAAAATCTGTCTCCGACTTCGTAAACTGTCTTCTTGCGTTTAGAATCCGCATAGTTCTTCTGCCTAGACTGGGCTACCTTGAGTCTATCACGAATCAGCTTAACCTTTTCTTCAGACTCCTTAATCAAATCTGGTCCAAACAACTGACGGTCTCCAACTTCATCCCATAACAACGGTGTCCTGCACCTCCTTCCGTACAAAGCTTCGAAAGGGGCCATCTTCAAACTGGCTTGATAGTTGTTGTTGTAAGAGAATTCTGCATACGGCAAATTGTCGTCCCAACTAGATCCATAATCTAGCGCACAAGCTCTCAACAAGTCCTCCAGAATATGATTGACTCTCTCGGTCTGTCCATCTGTCTGTGGATGAAAGGCTGTACTGAATTCTAGCCTGGTACCCAAAGTCTCATGCAACTGATTCCAGAACTTTGAGGTAAATTGGGTTCCTCTGTCTGATACAATGGTCCTCGGAACTCCATGCAGACATACGATCCTGGTCATGTATATCTTGACCAATTTAGCACTGGTGTAAGTGGTCTTCACTGGGATGAAATGAGCTACTTTCGTCAACCGATCGACTACAACCCATATCGAGTCATAGCCTGAACGAGTCCTGGGCAAACCCGTGATAAAATCCATGCCTAGCTTGTCCCACTTTCATTCGGGTATCGGCAATGGCTGTAGCAATCCTGCTGGCTTCTGATGCTCTGTCTTTACTCTCTGACATACATCACATACTGCTACATACTCAGCAATATCCTTCTTCATTCTGGTCCACCAGAAACTGTCCTTCAAATCCAGATACATCTTGGTATTTCCTAGGTGAATCGAATATGGCAAATCATGGGCCTCCTGCAGAATCAACTTCCTGATCTCGGGGTCATTAGGCACATATACCCGGTCCTCAAACCATAAGGTATCGTGCTCATCCTCACGAAATCCTTTGGCCTTTCCTTTGCTCATCATTTCCTTTATCTCGGTAATCTCCTTGTCCGTCTTTTGGGCTTCTCTGATTTTATCCATCAAAGTAGACTGAATTTCCAATGCTGCTATATAGCCTCTCGGAACTATTTCCAGACATAGCTCAAGATCCTCTGCTAACTCCTTGGGTAATTCTCCGGTCATGAGTGTATCGACATGACTCTTGCGACTTAACGCATCGGCTACTACGTTAGCCTTTCCGGGATGATAGTGTAACCTCATATCATAATCCTTGATGAGCTCCAACCATCTCCTTTGCCTGAGATTCAACTCCTTCTGCGTGAAGATATACTTCAAACTCTTGTGATCCATGTACACCTCACAATGGTTTCCGATGAGAAAATGTCTCCATGTCTTCAACACATGCACTACGGCTGCTAACTCCAAATCGTGTGTATCATAATTCAACTCATGGGGTTTAAGTTGTCGTGAGGCATATGAAACAACTTTTCCCTCCTGCATCAACACTGCTCCAATTCCACGACGAGAAGCGTCGCAATACACTTGATAATCCTTGCGTTGATCTGGAAGAATCAACACTGGGGCTGTAACCAAGCGTTTCTTCAACTCCTGAAAACTGGCCTCACATTCCTTAGTCCATTTAAACTTGGTGTCCTTCTTCAACAACTCTGTCATGGGCTTTGCAATCTTAGAGAAATTCTCAATGAACCTCCGGTAGTATCCTGCGAGTCCAAGAAAACTCCGGATCTCTCCAACTGACGTGGGTGCTTCCCAATTTGTCACAGTGACAACCTTGGTGGGGTCTACTGATGTGGGAAGAATTGATGGAGAGGTGGCTATGCGTGAGATATTTGCGGAGTTTTATTCGGGTTTTTATTCTATATCTAATTAATGACCCACTTAATGCTACCTTGGTTACTAGTTAAAATTGGGGCCCTCTGATTTCGGGGCCCCCGTTCGGTCGCTCTGGCTGCACTTGCGGACATACGGCCCTGGTTATGGGTGGGCCTGGGGTGTCAGAGTCCGACTCACTCAAACCTCCCTTAGTTTGGTATCCGTTTAAGGCCTAGTTCTTTTGCCAGAATCTGGGGATTCTTCCAGAATCTGACCCCTACTCAGCTTCTCCCAGATTTTTTGAGCCTCATTTGTTTTTACAATCCTATCTAGTTAGGGTCTAATTAGACAGGATTGTAAAACAAATGGGGCTCAAAGATTCTGGGAGAAGCTGGGTAGGGGTCGGATTCTGGGAGAATCCTCGGATTCTGGCAAAAGAACTGGGCCTAAGAGCATCTCCAGCCGCGCCCCCAACAGGCCCCCCATGCGACTTTTTTGGTGTCGACGCCAAAAACACGCCCCAGTCGCGCCCCCAGGACGACGAAAAGCGCCGGTTCGGCCCTTTTTTCCGCCCGGCGGCCGCAAGCCGAACCCGGCACACTGGGGGGATCGGGGGCTCCAGCGCAAGGGAAAAGCGTGGCTGGCCCACGTCGTCAGGTGAAAAGTCAAGATTTTCTTTCCCGACTCGCCTCCCACCCCCCGCGTCCTCGGCCGCCACTAGCTATATCCCGACGCCGCCCGCCGCCCTTCACCGCTAGATAGCCATTCCCCGCCGGAAAAATAGCAGAGGTTCACCGCGGGCCCGCGGCAGCCCCTCCGACAGCAGCTGGGCGTTTCCGGCCACCGTTTCCGGCCGCGGAGGGGCAGTTTAGCGGTGGGTGCACGCCCACCGGGCGCAAGGTGTTCGGCGATTTGCCTGCCTCGGCGATGGACTCGGATGACGAGGAAGCGCTTGCCGCGCTGCTGGAGGAGGAAGCCGAGGCCGACGTCCGGGAAGAAGAGCATCTCATGGTGCTCGCCGCCCTCGCACTCCTTCTTTGGTATGCCAGGAACTCACAATGACATCAACGTGCTGTAGTGATCTCCTGTCTTTGCCAAGCTTGTTGAAGGTCATTCTCCTCCGGTGAACTTTGAGATCAATGGGCGACACTATAACAAGGGGTACTATCTAGCTGATGGCATCTATCCGAGATGGTCGACATTTGTGAAGACCATCTCAAACCCTGTGCCAGGAGGTAAGAACGCCTGGTTTGCGAAGATTCAGGAGGCTTGCAGGAGAATGTCGAGCGGGCATTTGGTGTGCTCCAATCTCGATTTGCTGTTGTCTGGTACCCCGCTCAGACCTGGTCGAAAGATCAAATGTGGGAGATCATGACCTGCTGTGTCATCTTGCACAACATGATCATTGAGAGCGAGCATGAAGAGCCAGTGTTTGACACTGAACCATACCACAGGCAAGGTCCTCTTGCCCAAGTTGATCACCAGCTACCGGCAACCTGAACCGCCTACCTCAGTATGCGTCAAGAGATCCGAGACCCACAGGTGCATCATCAACTGCAGCAGGATCTGGTGGAGCACCTATAGAGGCTCAAGGGCGACGCCGGGCGCGACGTGTGATGAAATATGAGTTTTTATTTGTTGAACTATATAATTTGTATTGAACTATTTTGTTGAAGCATTTGATTTTTCTGTGATGAAATATGTGATAAAAAATATTTATGTTGATAATTGAACGCCGAGCCACGGCGAACCACGTCGAATATGGGCCTATTCTCGCCCATATGGGCCCTTTTCGCGAAAATGGGGCTGAAAAGTGGGCCAACATCGGTGCCTGGGGCGAGCTGGGGGGCGACGACTGGGCGCAAAACCGCCCCAAGCGCCGAATGTATCGTCGGCTCGCCCCCAGGGGGCAATTTTTATGCGTCCTGGGGGGGGGGGGGCAACGGCTGGAGATGCTCTAAGGATGGTCTGAACGATCAAAATTGTTTCGACCGTCCGTTTTTGACATTTACAGTTGATTTGGAGAGATCCCGCTTTGGAGTTACCCTAATTGGCTAATTGCAAAAATGGATTTTTTGTCAAAAAGACTATCTGCTCAACAAAATTGACAAAAAAGACTATATCTCTAGAACGTATTGACAGAAAGGACCGGCTGCTCCGTGGCGGAAGGCGCGACAGCTGACATGTGGCGCATGCCGCCACGTGCGGAGGCGGCAGGGGCTGCCGCCGTAGACCCAGGCGGTAGGTGCTGCGAAACAGAAAACAGCGCCCAGCTGCGAGCCGCGACGGAACAGAGTGGGCCGTGGGCCCGGCTCTCAGTCCAACGTGAAGGCCGCCGCCACTCCATCCGGCGGCATATGCATTGTTTTCCTTAAAATATCTTGACCCCGCTGGATCCCTCTACACAATTTTATCCTGTCATGTCATGCTCTCCATGTACCTGGAAGCCCTTTTTTCAGCAATAAATCTCACTTGCATGCTATGCTCACGTGCTTGAACAACTTAGCTCCCCACTATGCCTGCGCGCGTTCGCAGTGTCATGCACGCCTGGCCGTCGCGCGCTCCAGCCGCCTGCCTTGCGCTCCAGCACAGCAACCCGCCTCGTAGCACTCAAACATATGAAAAAATAGTGCATGCCGCGTGGTGGAGTGGCTGCACCCTCCACGTGGGCTGAAAGCTAGGCCCCACGGCCCCACTCTGTTTCGTCGCGGCTCACAGCTAGCGTCTATTTCTGTTTCACGGCACCTGCCTGTGGCGGCAGGGGATGCCGCCTTCCCATGTGGCGGCAGGCGCCACGTGTCGGCTGCCGCGCCTGCCGCCACGTCCCAGCTGGTCTTTTTTTGTCAATTTGATCTAAAAATGGTCTTTTCTGTCATTTGCATTGAGCAGGTGGTCTTTTTGAACAAAAAATCGCAAAAATGCCCCTACAAGTTTTTTTTCGTGTTCCTTGCAATTTTGACTGAGAAAAAAACTCATTGAACGCCCGCGCCGCTCCGATCTTCTTTTCCGGCGACGGCGGCGGTGGAGGCGGTGGTGGCAGTTTGGCTTCGCTCTTCCTTGGTCTGAGGATCTCCACCCGCAGGTATTCTTCTTTCCAAACACTACTCCTCTACTTCAGTGGAGTGGAGTGAAGATCTATCCTAACATGGGTTAATTCCTTGGAATTGTCGCTGACGAACCCTAGCTTGGATTGCGTAAAGAAACCCTAGCTTTGATTGTTCTGGGTTGATTCTCCTTTACTGCGGCAAATTTGATCCAAATTCCTCTTCTCCTTTTCAGTTTGTGCAGGATTTGGTTGCCGTGCGGTGGTCGGCCGGCTAGGGCAGGCGGCGGGGCCGGTCTCCTCTCTCATGCAGAATCGAATACAATCCCATCCTGCCGGAGCCTCGTCCTCTGCCTCCAGCGGCGGAGACGGCTCTGGTTCAGGCTTCTGTCTCAGTGATATAAGTCAGTTTTCTTCTGTCAACCCCTTCACATCATTTGATGAACTCGTATCAATGAATCTGGTACAACCGTACAATGCCATATTGCAGTGGAAATCGATGCTGGCAGCGGAGGAGACCACAAAGCACCAGGCTCCCCGAGGTCCAAGCATTCCGCTACAGAGCAGAGACGTCGCTGCAAAATCAATGAGAGGCAAGCCCCCAAATGCCCACCCTAGTCCATCCATTATGAACTAAATTATTCTTTCTGTGATATTACCCCCTGTCTATCGACAACCGTTAGCATTACTAACTGCAATGCAGATTTCAGATACTTCGTGATCTTGTACCACAAAGCGACCAGAAGAGAGATAAGGCCACATTCCTTTTGGAGGTCCTTGTTTTCTTCCCTTTCTCATGACTCCCTTTCCCCTATTTTGATAAGGATACCTGTGTATGCACTCCAGTGCACATATGAAGCAGTTGTTATCCTCTGCAGGTGATTGAATATGTCAAATTCTTACAAGAAAAGGTACAAAAGCATGAAGCATGTGCTGGTGGAGACTGGAGCCAAGAAAATACAAAATTGGCGCCTTGGGTAATCCACATTTCACTGGCCTCCGCTATTCATTACAGAAGCGTGGCTGCTATTTGCTATGCCATGCCAGTTCAAATTTGTGTGGTAAAGAATAATAAGAAAAACAAAATACTAAATTGGTACCTTGGGTAATCCACATTTCATTGGCCTCCCCTATTCATTTCATAAGCATGCCTGCTATTTGCTATGCCATGACAGTCAAATTTGTATGTGAAAGAATTGTATATGAAAATATCATATATGGCAGCCTAAATAAAGATTAACATGACAGCCATTACAATTTGCACCACTAAAGCATCAACAGAAATTATAGATTATTATGAATTTACTTTCCAGTACACATTCAGGAGAAATGTGTCCGGTTCGTTTATTAGATCCGCAACTAGCAACTTATTTCATTGCTGTTCACTGGAAATCTGTGACTCCAAAATCCTATGCAGCCGAGTAGAAAATTCTACCATAGAATTTCCGTGATGGAAAGTGTGCAAAGGTGAAGTTCACTATAATTTAACACCGCAAATCTTTTGAATTTTGTCAGCAAGTAGTGACTAACGTTCACTGTGGGTATATGCACAATGATTCAGTCATAAGTAATTAACCGAATTATTCTGTTCAGAAAAAAACAGTAAACCAATAATAGTAACTCATACATCATGTTGTGATTTATGGGTGTCATATTTTACTGCCTGTGCTAAAAAATATACACTGCTGAACAGCGGCGCAGTATCTCATATTTAACTTCTGATATGTTAGTTGAAATCAAATATTGACGTGTTAAGAAAAAATCAGGCCAAATCTGATGTTATTATCATTTCCACGCAGTCAATAATTGGAAATTTTATATTAGCTGTTAAAGTTAGGGATGTTTCACTGCACTCTTTCTAGGTATGTTTCTGAACAGATGGATTAATAGCGTTCAGCAATGCCTGGGGTTGAAACCTTAAAATTATTGAAATAACATGTTATATTATAACAGAGTAGCAATCGAGTACCAGTTGACCTCATGCCAGGTGTAGCACCCACAACAAAAATTGGCTCTGCTGGAAACTTTCTGGACAACAGCATCCCCACCATGCCAGAAATGCTGCAAAATGCTGAAACAGTAGTAGAACCAGCCAAGTTAAATGCAGGTATACGTAGATAATATGGTCTGTGTGAGTTGTTAGCCTTTTAGATTGTACTATTCAACAACGGGTGCTAATTGCTCTCATTTTTTTCTCAGATATTATAGAATCACAGTACCAGTCCCAATGGCAAGAGCTTTCATGTCCAGCGGATTGCCTTGTGGACAGTGAAATGAGCAATGAAAAAGAAGAATTGACTATAGATGAGGGTACCATAACTGTTTCCAGCGTGTACTCCCAAAAGTATGTTTCTAGCCTCCGCAAAATTCTCTGAAATTTTCCTTACTGATAATGCTACTAGTAGTTTTAGAGTTACTGGAACGAAGAAAGGGATTGCTATTCTTTATGGTACATATAATGCTAACTGCAAAAGATTTCTCAACTTGTTCTTGCCTGATATTTTATTCATTTCTTTGAACTCCAGTGTGTGTATGATGGAAAAAAAAGTGTATGTAAATACATAAATATTTACCCGAGTCGCCTCCGATGCCCCAATACAAGGTGTCATATCCGTATCTGATACCTATATCGAATACATATTATGCCATGGATACACTTGGATACATATCCACCCAGTATTGGGTTGGGCAAATACACACGTGTTATCCGCGCTGCGGTTCATAAGAAGTGATTCCATATGTTAGCATCTTTTTGTTAACCTTGAGGATGGAATTATCTTCGTCATCCATTTAGATGCATTTTCTTTTCTAATCAATTGCTCTGCATTTGGTATTCCTACATGTTCTTTTGACATTCATCTTGAACAGCTTTGACTCACACAACCATTATTTGTAATTCTTCTTAAACAGCCTATTTACAGCTTTGACTAATGCAATGGAAAATTTGGGCATCGATTTGTCACAAGCTAGCGTCACCGTGAATGTCAATCTGGGCAGGAGAGCAATTTCCAGGTCTACTAATATATCCAGTGCAAAGGTAACTGAAATAGTTTGAAATGCGTCTATCATGGAATATATTTATTTAGCATGTTGCAAAAAAAAAAGGAGTCATGATTAGCAGCCTAACTTTGTTCTCAACCACAATATGGTCCATGGTTAATACAGTGGCACATGTGATACATTAGAGGCTGGACCTTAGAAACACAATCTGTTATCCATATACGTAATACAGAGTATTATTCTAAGACCTAGTATGTTTTTGTAAAACGGAAGTATAATAGAGATGGCAAATAGTAGATTCTTGCTATTACAAAAGTCAATTTACTTGTAATTTTTCATTGAAGGACTTGTATTATGCAAGCGCTGTCTATTTTTACTTTACTACCGGCTTGCTACTTGCCTGATCTTATTTCTTTAAATGGGAGCAGAAAGACATGCCAGCCGCAAACTGAATCATGCAAGGTACTGGGCAGGCCAAAAGCTGTTAGGAATCTGAGGAAGCGTTGAAGAGGCGGTCTAGTAGGAACCATTTCCCCTGGAGAATTCTCGTCTCTTGACTTGGTTTTTTGTATAAACCCTTTCTGCTATATCTTCCTGTGGCCCTCCCTTGATCCTCGTTGATTGTAAATTAAATTGGAATATGTGAAAGCATACTATATTATGTGCACATTTGTTGTATATGATGTTAGCTGACTGTCGGTCTGTCCGGAAACTACAGGCTACCCGGTCTCAGAAGGAAAAAGGAAAAACTGCAACACTTTATTTTGTTTACTTTCTTCTCTCCAGAGACGAGAGCTCTTTCCCATGTCTCCCTACACTACACCCACGGTCACCACAAACCAACAGAAAACGGTTTCTGGATAAATTTTTGAGTTCTGTGAGCTTTGTCCAAACGATAGATTCTGCGACATGCCTGAATCAGCAGCAAACGGCTACAGCCCTAGAAACAAGCAGAAAACCTTGGAATTTGATAACATTGCCTGAATCAGCACCAGACCAAGGCCCTTGGGTAATGACGATCGCAGAAAAACGTATGAGATTCCTGAGAACCACAGGCTATTACAACCACGATAACGATCAAACTCTCAACATTCCGCATCCTACCAAACCGGCACAAGATCGTGACTAACAGCTGATGGCAACTAAACCTACATCCATATTTACAAGCAAGCTACCTCTGCGACATCTCACTGTATCATCTCCATCAGTAACACGGCCTCTTCGCTTCCTGGCGCCGACTGTTGTTCTGTTTAAACCTAACTACTATAGAAAACTGAGTTGCAACTTGCAAGGAGAAGGGCCTTCAGCTGTTGTCAGTGTAGTCTTGCAGCCTCTGCCCTATAATATAGCGCTCATCCCTGATAGAATCGTGGAGTTTCACCAGGGCACCCCAGAATACCTTGGCAAGGTAGCAGAGCCCACACAAGGCGAGGCTGCCCAGCCATGCGAAATGGTACACCGCCGAGTTCACCGCAGCAGAGTAACCAAACCTTGGGAAAAGGCCCTTCGCAAGCACATAAGGAACACCTAGAACAATCACTAGCTTCATGGTGACAGGCATCAATATATCTTGAAAGACCCACTTTGTCCTCAACCCTGCAAAACCATCGTCCTTTGCTCGAGTAAGCTTCCAGTCCCATCTTCCATCAATGAAATGAGCCAGGAAAGGCGCGTCCCTTGTCCAATGAGCCTTCAACAATGGTAACAAAAATATCTAATTAGAATAACTTGGCAAATTACCAGCAAACTACATTAAGTAACCATGTGGCCATTGCAAGATCAGTCAGAATAGAAACTCAGCCATCATTGAGCAGATATTGGCAGTTGATACTTGATAGCATTCTTGATGTGGCACGGGAGACGGGTTAAATATTGCAGGCTTTCTCAATGGGAAGAGTCAATTACAAAATTATTGGGACTAATAACGACAAAACAGCTTTGCAAATGAGATCGACTAAAATAAAATATGCACTGTTCATTTTGATAATTCGCTTTAGCAAGGAAACTATGCATTTTGCAACTGGTACAATTTGGGTGTCATGTACTCGCTCCGTTCCTGGTTTTAGTTCGAACTAAAACCACGGCAGGTATTTTGGAATGGAGGGAGTAGCAAATTTTCGCAAACAAGTGTGATCGCCTGATTACTGCCAAGTTTGGTACATACATGATAAATACAAGTTAAGAGGTCAGAAAAGTGACAAGACAGGTTGCATCTCACCAAATTAGTCCAGAATTTCAGCAATAGCAGCCCCAGGAACCAAATGCTGAAAAGGTCGAGAACTGGAATGTCATCAGCAGGCACAATGAAGGGTGACATCACTAGAAAATCAACCAGAAACTTGAAGGGTGATATCAGGAGAAAATCAACCAGCAGTCCTATCAGAATGGGAATGATAACAATCTGGCAACAAACAACAAGTTACTGAACTGTATATCTCAAAAAAAAAAAAATTAAACCACCTCGATTAAAATGCTCACCCATATGAACAAAAGAGGAGAGCTCTTCAGAGCTGTTATACCCCACTTGCAGATGACAGAAGCTAGAAGGCATGTTCTCCCAGAAGTCATGTTGACAAATGATTCTCTAGAGGCGGCAATAATAGTTGATATGGTGCAAAATCCAACAGCAAATGCAAACAGATCTAAAAGAAAGATTGCCCAAGTAAGCCCAAATAAGATGAATAACATAAACAAATATTTACTTCATTTACAGAGGAATTTCAGTGATCATAAACAATTATTACCATTGAACTTAAATCCGCCTGCTACTGGCAGCTGAGGGATGGCCAACAATAATGCACGCCCAACTGAGATTGGAAAGATAAGCACAACAGTGTTGAATATCACAACAGTCAACCATGCTAGCACAACAAGCAGTGTCATTCGAACTGCAACAGATCTCCTGTTACAATGTGTAAGAAGGGTAAATATCTTCTAAAAATATTGTGCAGCCAACATCTTAAGTTTGCAAAACATTAATTAGTTTAATGGTAAAAAATGAGCAGGCAAGTATAGCAAATAAAACGAGATTAGGAGAAAAATCAAAGAAAATATAATTTATTTTGACTGAAGACTAAAATTGTCGTACTGAAGATGCAACAACGGCACACATATTTGTTTCTTGAAGTTTCGTTTTTACACTATCCATAGTGCCCGTGTGGAAGTAATATCAGACAGTACAACCCTATATGGATTTCACTTCAATATTTGATCCAGTTGTACAAGTTTGAGGATCCAAATATTCGATTTTCCAGTTCTGTGACATACTTGAACCACCTATGCAATGTTTAACCCCCAAATGATGGAGATTGCTGTGACAAGACACATTTGGGAAGATATACTGAGATAGACCAAACACCAACACTACTCCCTATCCACCAGAATGCATGTATCTTAAATGAATAGTCAACAATGAGATCATAAAGAAATAAAATTAGATCATAAGTATTAGAGAATGGGTGTGGCAGCATCAGGATACAAAATAGTGGAGAATGTACAGTCCCTTGAATGGACAAAAATATGGGAGCTTACCTATTAGCCATAGCTTCATAAGTGCTGCCATACTGGTCATTTGGTGCAACACTATTACTAACCTCATGTCTACAGGCTCCATCAGGCTGGACAATCAACAAATCTAATAGATCAAGAGCTTGTCCAGTAGTGGCAAACCAATTTCGCAGTATCTTCTCCACCAGTTTGTGAGGTTGAAGGTATTTGAGTGTATTGCAAATGAGAAAGCTCAGAAAAACAATGCCAGAAAGTAACTCTGCATAGGTCCGTGGCGCTTGCCAAAATGATGTGCCCTTAGTAGGAGGATCGAAGTAGCTACAGTTCATAATATTAAAATAAATGCGTTGAATCGCCAAAGACTGGCAGATGCATAAGATGAAGAAGAAAAAAAAAGAATACTTACGTGATATCTAATGGGAACAACTTAGGTGCCAATCCACCAGCGATTTGAACGGGAACAAGAAAGACCATACCAACATTGATAATGCCAGCAAAAAGACGAGGAAGCTTCTTGAAAGAAATAATATAAAATGGTTCGCGCATGGATAGTTTCACATTATGCTCTTCAGCAAGATGGACAAATGGAATACTAACTCCTGGCCTCAATATCTATTCACAAGCAAACAAAAAAAATCACTGTTACACCCCTGAAACATATACTGCATGCACTATGAAATGATGAGATCACAAATACAGTACGATAAATACCGGGCGAAGAAGACTGGACAACTTGGAGCGTAGTATCAAAAAGATGCATCCAGTAAGCCAATGTAGAATAATAGAAGAAAAGGATGAAGTCCACAGAAGTTTGAACCTTTGATGTATTGTTGCACCAAACATTTTCGAAGTACAGATATCAAGAGACCAGCCAAAGAGCAAGGGAAATACTATAACCATGTTTATGACATTAAGAGAAAAGTTGGCAAAAGTGATCAAATTTGCGATCCCTCTGAAGAACATCTGGCAGAGAGAGAATGTCTTGCGGACCATTACATGTATACGATGCAGCCATCTAAAGGGGCTCAACAACCAGCATATCCCATCAGCCAAGATCTTGAAGAAAATGGCAATCAGAAGGCGCTCTCCCCTTGAGTATTGATGGAAAGTATGCATCCCAGCAAAAGTTACACCCAGTGAAAAGATGAATCCATATCCAATTAAAATGATATAAGCTGTTGAAGCGTATGAGTTGACATCATCCACATTTCCAAAATTGAAACATGAAACACACCATAGGATTATCCTTCCCAACGTGAACGGAACAAAACCAAACATGAAAGCAATGCCTATATCAACTATCACCACCTGAATAGAAAATTATTTAGTTAGAATTTTCTGCAACTAAGTATATTAGAAAAGATAAGCAGAAGATATCTGAAGCCTCCGTCCTACAAAAGCAATAAAGCATCCACATGTGGTGTTGAAGCATTGTCCAAAAATGTTGTAGATAAAACCATGGTGGAACTAGCCCAACAAGGCAACAAAAGCTCCCGCAACAGCACAATGATTAAAGCACCAAGGAGGACAAGGTTAGCCACTCATGGTGGTGCACTCAAAATAATGGCCTAAGAAATCCTAAACCTACATATTCGGAATAGTCATCCAACATTGTAATTTCTACGTCTCCAGGGTCCAGACTGATGGACAGCAAACCATATTGATGATGTCTCTCCCAATTGCAGGGTAGGAAAAAAGGTAAAGAACTGAACGCCATACAGTTTTACAAATGAACTCGTACTATTTTGGTCCAGGTGATAACCAAATCATTTAAGTTTTGCTATTACTAGCAATAGCCAGGACCGTAAGCGGCATCTTCACCTTGAACTGGAGTTATACTCTACCATGACCAATGTTAAGCAAAACCATCACAAGATGTGCTTAATCTCTAGATTTTCTTTTTGCGAGTAATCTCTAGAGTATAACTTCACTAATCAGTACTCTACTACTGCAGGTAGAATGTAGAATCCTCCCATCACAGTAAATAAG